AAACCAGTAGCAAACAGGATTCATTTCAAAATGAATCCTGGAACAAATAGAAAGACAGACCTGGAATTATATGTTTTCTAGTTCCTGTTAACAGGCGATCTGCAGTGTTTTGTCAAGGTTGACTGAATTACAGTAATCTAAACAAATTTATCTTAAAACAATCACTTCTAAAGCATTGCTTTAGTAAGAAAACATAGCTGAAAAAACCTCATTTTGACAACTGAACTGATGTGCTTTGTGAAATGAGTAGTCAAAGAATATATTATGAGTCTTCACAGAGCGCTCAAAAATGACATTTGAAAGATCTAATATCTAAGATGCCATAACCTCTGTTGTATTATGGTTGAGGAGGAGGAGGAATCTTGAGTTCATTCACGCCTTTATATCAGCAAAACATTCCAATAATGCCTTCACAGAACAGTTTTTTTTATAAATGGGCAGATAGAGTTGAATGCCATCAACAAAGCAGTGGAAAGAGATATTTCATAGAAATAGACCCCAAGTGAAAAACAAAGGGGAAGAAAGAAAAAAAGACTGGACCTTGAATGAATCATTGCAGAACACCCCAAGTAACAAGTGTTGCAGCTAAAGAATATGTGTCTACCTGGGATGGGAAGCTTTTTTTTTTCCCCAATTAAAGACTTAAACCAATGTAGCACAATTTCTTCCAAACCCACACAAGGCTCAAGCCTTCATAAAAGGATGCAATAATCCAAAGTTAAACAAGGCACTTAGACCTCAAAAAGTCAGACAAGCAGGGATTTTCAAAAACAGTTATAACCAGGTCATTAACAACTTTAGGATAGCAGTTTTAGTGCTGTGAAACTTTTTAAAGCCAGATTGAAACTTTTCATGAACACAATTCTCTTGTAAGAACAGTTCCAGCTGGGGCAAAAAAAAAAAAAAAGAATTTTGTAAAAGAACCTGTAAAAGAAAAGGCAACTTCTGTTTGGATCTGGGAGGTGTCTGCATGTTTAACCCTTTGTTGCAGTTGTGTGGTCGTCCTCATGAGGGCGCCAGGTAGCAGCAGTCTTGACTCGCTGCAGGTGTTTGGCGTTAGAATTCAGTAGGTGAGTCTGCTGCACAGATGGACCCGAAGTGGAGAACTTTTTTTTCCGGGTGAGTACCGAGACGAAGGCAGCCGAGCGGAGGGGTTGGAGGTCGGACAAGTAAAGCAGCAGCAGAGGGGCTGGATGGAGCTAACCGTGGAAGTTTGTCCAGAGTCGACGGAGCAGATGAGGAACCAGGATGTCAGGACGAAACTCAGGAAATTCATACATTGAGATCAGCAAAGGTAACCTGCGCGTGGAGATTACGAGGATGAGGAGAACAAAGAAACCGCAGAACTGGGAGACACATTGACAACCCAGAAAGCTCGGATATTTACCACTGCAGGTTAACACTAAGGCATTGAGGTACTGGCATCCAGGTCCTTAAATCCTAAACCTTGTGAGTGGAAATCAACTCCAGGTGTGTTGAAAACACCTGCAGCGTGTTAGGACTGCTGCTACCTGGCACCCTAATGAGGGCGACCATACGAAGTGCAACGAAGAGTTAACAGAACATGTATACACATGCCTCCCAGATCCGAACTTAAAAATAAACCCTAGGTTCCACAGTCAGAAGGATTTAATTGTTTCAGCTTGAAAAGTGGCAGCACCACAGCCTGAATTGAGGGAAGAGGTTATCAATAGCAAAATTAGTAACCTAACAAATTGAAGAAAATCCTATAAAAATTAGGTTTGTCTAAAAAAAAGTCTGAGGCCATAGATATTTCTACTAAATACAGGAACAGAATGAAGCTCTGTTCCACCTTTAAGTGTCCCATATTTTGGGAATGAGTCTAAGCCCTTCTCTCACAGAGACCATCTTACAGGTGTGGACTGGAGTTAGGCCTTTAATTTCAGCCATCTTCATGGACAATCCAAACCAACACACCAAACACACTAAGTATTCACTCACAATCAAAAGTCCAAAAACTTTTCCTAAACCTTAAGACTACAAATAAAAGACTGGAGTGTGAACTGTAGAGGAGCCCATAGTAACATAAAAAGTTCTGATTAGTGACAAAGTCCGTCATTCTCCAGAAACATGTTTTCCCTTGACAACCAACCTCATATGAGAAGTTGTAGGAATAGACTAGCCCAGAGGTTCCCAAACTGTGGGGCGCGCCCCCTCGGAGGTGGGGGGGGATGAAAAGAAAATAAAACAAAACAAAAAAAACATAAGCGCTGTATTCGCTCGGTTTTTACCTTAGAATGGCCAACTCTCTGTTATTCCTATATCAATTTGATACAGTAGAGGCTTCCACACTTCCCATATTTGTATCCTCTGTCACTTTTATCAGCAGTTAAAACTGTTTAATGGGTTGTTAACATGTCGTAACCTGTTTTCCGAGCCGCTTTTAAACGCAACATGACCGCTACGACGCTGCGCTGGGTTTACACCTGTGCGGCAGTGAAGGAGACCTGCTACTGCTGCTGTGCAGAGCTACGCAGGTGTGTGTTAGAATCATAGTAGCAAACCATCAAAACGCAAAGAATTTTTCCGTTTTCCCCCCAAACTAACCGACTGAGTTGAGTAAAGCTGTTGGATGCAGGTGATGTTAGCTAAAAGATAACTAGCTAATATAAATACAGCACCTTAAGCTTAACAAGTGGCCTGTAGGCTACCGATGTTGGTGTCTGTTCAGCTAAGTACATTCATTTTGCCCCCCCCCCAAAAATGTTAGAGATAGGGAGTCTCTAAGAATCCACCCCCCACCCCTTTCGCTCACACACGTCGTTCAACCAGACAGCTATTTGTGGGGGTGGGGGGATAAAATGTTTGGAAACCCAGGAGAAAAAGTTTGGAAACCACTGGACTAGCCAATGGGAAAAAAAATCCCTTTTTAAGGTAATTGAGAAGATCCTAAAGGTGTTTAAAATTTAATGTTTAAAAAGACATTGAAGCATATGAGTAGGTTGCAATATTTTATTAAGCTCAGAGAGAGAAAAACAACACGTTTTACTAAAGAAAAAAATCACAATAGGAAATTAAACATGTCTGCATACCAATACCCCAAATTAATTCAATTGAGAATAGATCATCTCTTTTGGCTGTCACTGGAGAAGGTTGCTTTAAAACACGCTGAGAGGCAACTAATTTAAAACGGCCTCAACGAGCCTTACAGAAACACACAGCAGCAGGCTATGTCAGACCAACCTGTCTGGGAACATGAGGACGGGTGACCATGACAATAAATCGCAAATAAGCACCTAATTAAATTAACGGCACTGTTGTTAAAAAGGGAATAACTCACTTTCTAATTTGGCCGAGTCGGCCCAGTAGGATTGTTTAACGGAATTTGATCAAAGCTGTTCTACCAGGATGAATCCGAGACATAGATGAAGA